ATTGTTACTTCTCCTATGGTCAGGAAAGAGTTAAGATTGAGATAGAAGGGATGTGACGTTCCACTCAATCTTTTTGTAAGTGTCCTGTGTGTGTCTCCATGCAGTTGGATTATTCCCTGCTTAATTGAGCTTATGGGACATTGAACAATCTATTTGGAATGGAACTGAGCCTGTATTGTCTGTAATACCTCCATGACATGTCACAGTTATAACATTGCATTTAAAAGACCCTTTCATTTCATGCATGAAATAGTGTCGTCCATACATCCAGTATTTGAAGCTGTTGCAGTCGCATTTCACGAGCATGACTTTAATTTTACCTCTAGTGTACTTTTCCAGTACTTTCTAAGGAAAGGATGGCCCTTGTCTTTCAAGTAGATCCCCAACTTTTTGTTTGAAGCGGTTGATACATTGTAATCATACTGCTTGGTCGATCATTAGTTTGCTGTTTCAAAGCAAATCTTCTTTTGCATTTATTTCTTTTTTGTTAGAGATAATATTTCTCGAGGTGGCAACAGGATTTCGCAAATGATTGTGACAGGAAAGTACATATAATTCACTTTGAGACTACACTGTAATTAACGTGTTTGAACTTCACTTTTGACCTGCGTATTCATAGTTTTCACGTGACGTCACTTCCCCTATTCCCGCCCACCGGCCTCCATTACCAGGCACCGAGAGGCAGAGGTGGACATCGCCGCTGCTCGTACGCTGCTCGGCTGCAACATTTCTACGATGTGTGTATTGTGCGTATGTTGCAGCGTCTGCATGCATGACTACAACACAATATTTCCATCCGAAATGCAGGATCACAGAACAGGACATTTTGACTTGAAAGATTCATGAAATGCATCTGCGAACCGGCAAGGCTCATAAAAGGTGGAGGTTGTTCACCGCGTTCGTAGCCCAGACGCTGGGTGGGTGCCCAGTCGGGGTTCCTATCGTCCACGAGAGTCGAAAGCTCACCTGCACGTTAAAAGACGTGCCTGTACTTGAGGCACTAAAAGTCGCAGCATCTTAGCCGTACAAATTCGTGCTGCTGCTGAAGCATTAGCACTAGTGGGCTACAAACACCACAGAGATACGGATGCTTGGCGACAAAGGTAAATGCAAAGAGAGCGGCATGCAGCGTGACACTAGCAGATACTCTAAAGCCTCTTTAGCGACTGTGGCAAAGCACGCAGAGTATGCACGTAAGGTTTCAGCAATCCATGTATTACGGACGACACATATGTATTCCTTACCGGTAATGAAGCAACGACCACAAGCACAGTCGTTGTCGAGGTTGTTCAAATCCTTCTAGCGTATGCGAGCAAACCAGAAGCTCCGGTGTTTTTCGCACAGCAGTTTTGTGCACTCAAACTGTCGGTTGACCACTTTTGGCAAGCAAGGAAGCCTTATATTTGGCATTGCGTTACTCTCCTTTTTGGAGGACTTAATTTCTTCTGCTGCGGCAACCGAACGTTGCGCACTTCGGCATTGCTGCACCACTGTGACCGCAAGTGCACATAACACGAAAGAAACAAGCGTGCACTGAAAACGATGTGGCAGTGGCCAGCGTTGCCGGCGGCGGCCTGAAGCTGAAATTGTGTCAATACTCAGTGATGATGGCAACATATCCCACAAGTCCTGGCAGTGACGTCAGTGAAAACTATGTATACTCCTGCACTTGAGTCTGCTATTTTGTATCTGGCATTGAAGTACTTTGCCTAGTACTGGGTGTCCCCTCCATGCCTTTGTCAAGGGGATATTTTGTTGTGATAATCTTTTTAATTCATGGGAGATAGTTCAATGTTGTTATCAAGTGTTGCCTAATGTATCAAGTGTCATTCTAGATTTGATGTCTCCCTCACTCATATTATAAAATAAACTCCTAAAAAACACACTGAAAAATCAGTGAGGGATAATTGCATTGTTTCTCTCAGAGGTGCATTTCACTTGTCACATAAACACTAGAGATCCACACTGTTTCGTATTTGTATAAAACAGGGAACTCCAAACGTTTTGGTGCAGTCCCAAGGGCCTGAAAATAAATAAGTCAATATAAATTTGCAAATACTAAATATATAGATAAATTCAACATTTATATACAATAACTTAAACTATAATAAAAATTGAAATAGATTATTACCCATAAGGATTATTACCCATATACCATAAATGCGTAAAATACCCTACAAGTAGGGTAATTACCCTACAGTTGACAACACTGATCCAAAGTCGTGTCATCTTCTAGCAGATCTGTGGATTGAATTGGATTCCCGCGGCTCTTGTTCCTAACCTGGTTGGTTTGGAGTTTAATAAAATAAATGATATATTCTTAAGTTCTCAGTGTTTCTACATACAACTAAAAGTCTCACTGTTGCGCACTGCACTTTATTTATTTTTTTCGAACTACAAACGTGAATTTTGACAAAGAAAGCTGGGCCAGGGCGGGCGAAACGCACCCTTCGACGCAGGAATGTCCCAAATCCACCCGAAGCCGGACCTCCTTGGCCTTCGACTCGAGCCGAGGTGACGGCGGTACGTGGCGGTACGCGAGGGCGTTGGCGAGGTGAGCCAGACGCAGGTGGTGTGTGACGTCAAATCTGACGAGCACCGACATCAGAGAAAAGTGGAGGAGGCGAGGAGAGCGGTCGTGATCGTAAAAATTTTCACGACTCCTGCAAACATTTTCACGACTCCCACAAATCGTAAAAATAGAAGCGACCGCTTCACTTTTCACGATTTGTCGGAGTCGTTTGTTTTGTAGTGTCCTGTTTGGACACCCCTTCAAGGGGAAAGGGGGGAAGGGGGGGGTTCCGCAGTAAGATACGAAAGAGTTTAATACAGCTTGCAAGATACACATATTTTTTATGAAACAATTATTTTAAAAAGTACAATGCATCAGTAATTTCAAAGTAAGAAAAAGAGGCACAATGAAAAATAAGGAATTTAGTCTATGACGTAGCAAAACAACAAAACATTGTTATAATTATCTCAGATACAAAAAAAGCACAAAGATTTTATAGACAAGTATAGACATCATATATGCACAATAAAATAGCAAGACAGTGCACGCAAGTCACGTGCTCACATAATAAACTGTCTCAGCAATGAACAATGCCCTTTTATTTCCATATTTAATGATATTTGACGTTTATACAACTTTTTAAAAGGCACCCTTTCTACACAAAATTGTTTTTGCTCGTAATATTAATTCGAAGCATTTTTATTTATTTATTTTATTTATTTATACATACTGCAGCCCCATGTGCCAGCACATATTGGTGCCAGCTGTAAATGTTCATTCATATTTAGCCTGCCTCATCCCAAGAGGAAACCATTCTTACTCGACAAAGCCTCCTTTGGTGGGTGGCTCCCACAGAGGGTCATCGTCGCAGTCGTAGTCGTCCTCCTCCTTCTCCTCGTCCGAATCACTGAGGACAGAGCTCATTGCACATGCCGGGCCCGGTCTTTGCGGTGGCACTGCAAAGGTGGTGGAGGCGAAGGCTGCAGCAGTGGTTGTACTGTTGCTGCCGGCAGTGGTGCTGCTACTGTCGGGTGTCTCCAAGTCCTCGGTCTGGACCCAGTGGGTGGTGATACCTTTGACGTAGGAGTTCCACTGCGTGCCTGAAGGGCGGAAAGAGGTTTACTTTTCCGACTCTTCATCCTGTTTGACCAGTACAAGCCTCCACAAAATGGCATTCTGGCAGAAACATTTTTTTTCTAAACATTTAGAAAGTGCAGACACATAAGGGACGTCCCTTATGTGTCTCCACTTTCTAAATGTTTTGAAAAGCACCAACACGCTCGAATAGTAAAAATTTTCTTGTTGTTCCTTATCGAAATAAACGACAACCTAGACCTGGAGGGTGAAATACAATGGAAAGTCAAAGAAGGTGAAGGCCAACCAGGGCTGTGCATGCACACTGACTTTCGTGTTAGCTTTCAAGGTAACATGTGCCTTCCGCAATGCCGCCTGGATACAGGGCCCTAGACCCTGGCCCCCTGCATCGGCTGCAGTTAGGCGGTGCGTGGTGTGGGCCTGGTGAGAGTATTGCGCCGGTGCTCAGCTGGAAGTGTCTCAGTTGCGCTGGCATGGCATTTGGGCCGGAAAAAATATTCTGTTTTCCCGTCCTGAATGGTGCTGGTGGTCCAGGAACTGGGATTTTGTGTTTTGCTCAAGTTTTCGAGCCTCCCCATAGTCGGCGCCAATGCGGTAGGCTTAATTTAGTTTTGTCATCTTGGCGGCTTTGATCGCAGACATTACTCTATGCATATTACTTCGTCCTATTATTAAAGCATCAGTTATTATCATTTTGTTTGTGATATTGATGGAACAGTATTAACATGCTAGGGTCCCACCCTTGTTGAAGTTGAAGGTGATGAAGACAGTGGGAGTATTGAACATGGGTGTCGACAGGATTTTGTCTTGGGGGGGGGGGGGGGGGGGGCAAACTGACAGCCCTTTTTGGGCTTGTGGGGTCAAGGGGAGAGGGAGGGTTCCACAGTACTCTTTCGTATCTTACTGCGGAACCCCCCCTCCCCCCTTTCCCTTTGAAGGGGTGTCCAAACAGGACACTACAAAACGCACGACTCCAACAAATCGTGAAAATTGAAGCGGACGCTTCTATGTTTACGATTTGTGGGAGTCGTGAAAATGTTTGCAGGAGTTGTGAAAATTTTTACGATCATGACCGCTCTCCTCACCTCCTCCACTGTGGAACCCCCCCTCTCCCCTTGAGGCTTGCAAGATACACATATTTTTTATGAAACAATTATTTTAAAAAGTACAATGCATCAGTAATTTCAACGTAAGAAAAAGAAGCAACATTGTTATAGATATGTACCGGCACAATGAAAAATAAGGAATTTAGTCTATGACGCGGGGAAAACAACAAAACATTCCATTTAGTTATAATTATCTCAGATACAAAAAAAGCACAAAGATTTTATAGACAAGTATTGACATCATATATGTACTGTACACAATAAAATAGCAAGACAGTGCACGCAAGTCACGTCTCGGCAATGAACAATGCCCTTTTATTTCCATATTTAATGATATTTGACGTTTATACAACTTTTTAAAAGGTTCCCTTTTTACACAAAATTTTTTTTGCTCGTAATATTAATTTGAAGCATTTTTATTTATTTATTTTATCTATTTATACATACTGCAGCCCCAGTGGGGCTATGGCAGCACAAGACATGTGCCAGCACATATTGGTGCCAGCGGTAAATGTTCGTTCATATTTAGCCTGCCTCAACCCAAGAGGAAACCATTCTTACTCGACAAAGTGGGTGGCTCCCACAGAGGGTCACCGTCGCAGTCGTCGTTGTCCTCCTCTTCTTCCTCCTTCTCCTCGTCCGAATCACTGAGGACAGGGCTCATTGCACCATGCCGGGCCCGGTCTTCGTGGTGGCACTGCAGAGGTGGTGGTGGTGAAGGCGAAGGCTACAGCAGTGGTTGTGCTGTTGCTGCCGGCAGTGGTGTCTCCAAGTCCTCGGTCTCCAAGTCCTCGGTCTGGACCCAGTGGGTGGTGATACCTTTGGCGTAGGAATTCCACTGCGTGCCTGAAGGGCGGAAAGAGGTTTACTTATCCGACTCTTCATCCTGTTTGACTAGTACAAGCCTCCACAAAATGGCATTCTGGCAGAAACATTTTTTTCTAAACATTTAGAAAGTGCAGACACATAAGCGACGTCCCTTATGTGTCTCCACTTTCTAAATGTTTTGAAAAGTACCAACACGCTCGAATAGTACAAATTTTGTTGTTGTTCCTTATTGAAATAAACAACAACCTAGACCTGGAGGGTGAAATACAATGGAAAGTCAAAGAAGGTGAAGGCCAACCAGGGCTGTGCATGCTCACTGACTTTCGTGTTAGCTTTCAAAGTAACATGTGCCTTCCGCAATGCCGCCTGGATACAGGGCCCTAGACCCTGGCCCCCTGCATCGGCTGCAGTTAAACGGTGTGTGGTGTGGGCCTGGTGAGAGTATTGCGCCAATGCTCGGCTGGAAGTGTCTCAGTTGCGCTGGCACGGCATTTGGGCCGGAAAAAATATTCTGTTTTCCCGTCCTGAATGGTGCTGGGGGTTCCGGCACTGGGACTTTGTATCTAGGCGGTGTTACCTGCCTCTCCGTTGTTTTGTTATTTGTTTTAATTTGTATTCCATTGCTTTGGCTGGCTGGCTAGTAAACGCTCATAAGTAAGGGCTCCAGCCTATCTGTCTAGCTCTGCAGGTCACCTAGTGTACCCCACCTTTGCTAATAAAGATTATTATTATTATCTAGTTACCTGCAACGAGCAGCAGCATGTTTATAGGGTTTATCTGGCCTAACGACAAGGAGGAGTAAGACTACATCCCTCATGTCCCAGTTAAATTAAGAAATGGTATAGTACTAAATTTGTGTAGAATTTATGCTGTTGCTGGCGTACCATCAAGAGTGTTCATGTGTCATCTGAGGGCACTTTACATGCTCGTTCGAAGTTTGTCCACAAGTTCTGGGGGCAGTAGATGTCGTGGCGTGGGCTAGTGTTACATTCTGGAATGCATTACCCCTTCCTCTCTTTTTCTTCCCGTAAACACATGAAAGGTGGAGTTTTGGACGTAATGTTCGACACTTTCCACAGCAAGAAGGAATTCAAAATCGTTTGAGGTCGAAGCAAAATAGAACCACATAGAAAAACAAAAACACCATGCAAACGCGAAAAAAAAAAAAGAAAAGCACATTCGCGCGGTATTGTCAATATTCGCGGGGAGTGCCGTCGGACGGCACTTGAGCGCCGTGCGGAGCAATGAAGACACTTCCTACAGTTTCTCCTGCAATATGACGTCAAGCACGCGAATACAGGCGGCTTTATTTTATGCATACCGGTAGATCGCTTTCCCAGCCATCGGTCTGTGCCCACAGAACTGTCCTTCGTGCCAGGCGACCTCGGAGTCCGTGCGGGTCCCGGATTTTCATGCAGGTCGGCCTGGACCGCTGTGTCGCGTGTCACCGGTCGGTGACGAGATTGGCAGCTGTGCTCGCGATGTGTACTCCCCTCGAAGCAATCCACCTCCACCGGCTCATCGTTCTGCAAAACCAAAAATGTGTGCTCGAAAGGTTCACGACCGCGTGCCGTTCGCGGACGTGCGACACTTGCCTCAGTTCTTCGGCGCTTCGACGTTGGCACGGCTGGGTCCTTGGAAGGGGAGAGGCGCTTCGCAGTGGGGGGCAGTCGGAGCGAAGGTACAGCACCTGGCTTCAGGTAGACGTTCTTCATCGCCTGCCTGGCATCGCGAAGAACACTAGGCAGACGACGGTAGTCGCGGTCGCTGTCGAAGTGTTCGGAGCACACGCGCAAGTCTGCCTGTCCGGGGTCCCTTCTACTAATCCTCCCACACCACTCACCCCTGAGAGGTTCTTCGCGCGGTAAACGATGGAACAGGAGCTTTTTAGCACGGACAAGAGGGCTTTGTGGAGTCCGGTTAGGACACAGGAGAACAGAGCACCCGGTCGGCATTGCCGAGCGGCGGCGTTTGAAGTCGAGATCGACACGGCGGATAACCAAGCCGACCAAGTCAAGGCGCTCGTTCGGCTCCTCGTCCTCGTGCTAGCCGCTGACGCTGCTCGAGCTGACGGTTTTGTTGACCTCGGGTAGATGGCGCCACTAAAACACTGTATGTATAATAAACATTTTTATCAATGATACTACGTTTTTGAAGCATTTACGTTGTTGGGACGACAATATTTATGGAAAAAAATACCCTTTATTGAGAGGTATTTGCAGAACTTGCTATCTTTTTTACAACTACCCAAGTGACGTCACGCCGCGTGTTTCCCATGACGGCCGCTTGCGGCTGCAGGTCGGGGGATATTCTAATTTTTACCTCGCGATTACGCGGCGAAATCGCAACATTTCGATGAAAGGAGGTGTGTTTTCTGTCATTTGTGACAAGGTGAACAATATCAAAAGCAGAAAAATCGTTGCACAGCTCCTTTAAAGGGACACTGACACCCCCCAAAAAAATTTTTTTATTTTTTGCCAGGCGCTTCATTATGGTGTCGGAGGACTACCCAATTAATATTTTGCAACAGAGTAGCGTATTTCTTTAATAAAGCCAAAAGACGCAACTGCTCGAAACCGAAACCGAAACCCGACGGAGGTCGGAGAAGTGGAGAGAAGAGAGCGACTGGCGGAAGTCACGTGGCTACACCCGACCGTGCGGTTTTTTTGTTTGTTTTTTTCTCCTCTCCGGTAGCAGACGACACGACATACGGCTGCGATGCGGCGTGCGGGACTGCTTGCCGTGCGATTCTTTTGCAGTTATGTTTGTTCCGCTCGTTGTTCTGTACTCCAAGATGAGTTGTTTTGTACATTGAGGAGTTGGAGATGTGTAGTGAGTGCCCGTGGTGAATTTCCATGATCGGCTCCGAAAAGAATAAACCCAAGATGTTGCGTGAAGAGCTGGCTCACATGTCTTGCATCCGAAAAAAAGTGGCATTGTGCGACAGAGTTTCCGAAAGATCAACGGTATCGGGACCAATGGCTGGCTGCAATTCCTGTAGAACATTTACGGGCGCCTCGGAAAGCGGACGCTACCTGATTTATATGCTCCTTGCATTTTGTGGAAAGTGATTACATTGAGTTTGCAGTTGTCAAAATGGAAATGCCATACCGTTTAATTCAGCGAAGTATCGTCCGCAACATTTGTTTGTTATTTTTTTGTTCGTTTCTTCAGTGATAAATTGCAATAAAAAGAAAAAGATATGTAAACATCGGAAAATGTTTGAAAAAAAAAAAAAAATTCACGGAGGATCGAACCCGGCCCTACCGCGTGTGAGGCGGATGTCTTTCCCACTGAGCTACTGGGGCAACTCGTTCCTGGTGGATCTCTTTCCTTAGTAATAATTCAGCCGGTAAACTGTAAGTTGGAAAGTTTGCTGTCGATTTTTCTCTAGCAAAAGCACTCCCGGGTCGAAGTCGGAAAGCACCACGCTTTGGGGACATTCGCACCTAGTAAAGAAATCGTACGCGTACATATTCAACTCGAAGTAGACACGTCGTGCTTGACGTTTGCGCGAGCGTTGTCTTCAGCCACGAGAAGGGAGCGACGGCTCGGCGACGTCTTCGTGCAAATCGGCTTGGTGGCCGGGCGTGTCGTACGGGATGAATACCAATTCTTTTGATCAGTCCCAAATTTCTCTTTTAACGGTAGACAGAATTCGCCGGTACCGCGAACGACAGTTCTGAAATAGAGGTCCCACGCCCGTCGTCCGCTGCCATCGCCGTCCCCGCGAGTCCCACGATACGCGAAACGACGAACGCACAGAATGCTTCCGGTTGTCTGTGGAACTTTTTTTTTTCAATCAACGTATTTACAGCTTTTTAGAAGCCACAAAAAATGGGTTTCATATTTTTTTCTATTTTTAATATTGAGTGTGTGCCTTCAGTGACCCACGACTTTGATTAAATTTGGTGGTCGCATCGATACCTTAGAAAATTGGCCCGTGACCGCGAAAAAGAGAGTGAGCGAGACTCGAACCGGCCAATTCTTGATCGGCGGTTTTCGGGCGGAAAGAAACCGAATTTCGAGCCGCAAGTTCTGTTCTGGGTAGTTGAGCTCTCATATGTCACCTACAACTAAAAACCTCGGCGAGCATAAATACCCTGTCAGTGTCCCTTTAAACGCAGACGGTACAGACATGACTATGGACCACTGTCAACGGCACACAGAAATTCATGTGGTTGTAGTGATCGGATGTTTCCTGGTAACAAATTCCAGCGTTCAATGGTGTGAGGAAAAAAAAAAACTATTTAAACATATCAGTACGAGGATGAAAAGGTAAAATGTTTAATTCATGGTGGCTCCTAGTTGCAGTTGGCTTGAGAAACTTTATGTAGCTATCTAAAGAGTGAAAACGTGATGAGTTAATCATGAAATATTAAGACTTTAGGCGCTCAGTACCACGACACTCAGAAAGAAGTCTTAGGCCTAACTTGGAAAGGTTAGAAGAAGGAGAAAAGTTTCTGTCATACCGACGACAAATAAGACATAGCGATTTCTTTTGAACTGATTCGACTTTATTTATATCGGGCTGTTTGTAGGGAAGCCAAATAATAGAACCATATTCGAGGATTGGGCGAATCAAAGTTTTAAAAAGTTAAAAGTTTAGTGCCGCAGGTATCCGAGTCTTTTAAGAGATTTGTTACATGTCGTATCAATGTGCTTAGACCAAGATAAATCAGACGTGAAAAGGAGGCCAAGATATTTATATTCAAAAACTCTTCCTAGGCATAACCTGTCAAATGAATAATTAAACACAGAAGGTGATGAACGCCTAAAAAGGTCATAAAACGGTTTTACGAAAGGTCAGGTTCATTTGCCAGGTTTTACAGCACATGCAAAAATTCACAAAAGAATTGTTAAGTTATATGGTCATCGGAGGAAGTTTATCACGTGATATAGTACGCACTCCCGGGTTGTGGTCCGTGGAAGACATCTGAAAGCTGCGTTAGCTGTGTTGGAAAGCTAGCACCGCGGGGCTATCGCCGGAGGGTTAGTTGCCATTGTAACTTTCCGTATTTCGACGCGGGTTTCCTTAGCTTGCCATGCTCGCTCTGTCTCATTTCAGAACTGGAGTAAAAGTTTAGCCCACTGGTTCTTATCTTTATATTGGTTGTTATATATCTGATCAAGCTCAGCTTTGCATGAATACTGCCACAGTTAAAGACGAGTTTGGCATACCTGTGAGAGTCGAGTTGAGGGCAAAGTCAATATTCAGCTGGCTCTTTAGAGCCGGAGGATGCTCAGGAGTGACGGAGACAGCAGGTACATCGATTGATTGCAGGTCATGACACGGCTCTGAGGGCACGTGCTTCTTCGTTGCACAAGATGGACCGTCATTATCACCGTCAGCTTTCCATTTAAAAAAGCTTCTGTTGTCCATTTTTGACTCCTGACTTGTATCAGCCCACGGTTATATAAAAAAGTGGGATTGGGTGCAAAATGTGACCCTTTCAAGCAACTGGGCCAGGAAAAGAGAGCCAGCAACAGCAAAGTGTGCCACCTGTCACAGATATTCGACAGTGCCACGCGTGTGAACACGGTGGTGTCAACGAGGACGGTCCGACACGCCTCTCCCACGTATAAGTTACGCCTGGGGGAGTATCGTTGTTGACATGGTGCGAAGAGAGTTTCGCAGAACTGCATAGTCCAAAATGGGACGCCTGGCCCCGATTTTGACCCGGGCCCTCTTCTCTTTTCCCATGACCGCAACATGCTACGGGCAAAGGAGAAGAAAAACCCTAAGGCACATGTACAAAACAGAGCACTGGCGTGAGCAGTGCCGTAGACGGGGTTGGTTTGGGGTGTCGAAACCACCCAAAATGCCAAAACTACCCCCTCCTCCCTCTTCCCCCCCCCCCCCCCCCCCCCCTTCCCCCCTGGGGCCCGCTCGCTCCACCCCTTACGCAGTTGGTTTTACGAGGTACACGGACCGAAGGGGAAGCGCGGACTATCTCCAACTGGTAGCTACGCCATTTGTTCTGTTGGGCTTTTCGAACGAATCCCGCTCTGTGTAGAAGACGCTCTGTTTTGGGGGCATTTTACTGACTTGCACCCGAATGCCTGTGATTCATCACAACACAGGACTGCAGTGTTCTCGAAAATAAATGCCCCTCCATATGTTTTTTATTCCAGCGGCTGATTGCAATTGATTGAGATGAGACCTTATTTTTTTTGTGTTTATTGCTGAGGATCCAAAGAAACAAAAGTGCGTAAATTTCATTTTTAGGACTGCTTTCGGTTTCTCCGCTTGCTAGAAAAGCTATGGCGCGACGTCATTCGATCCCCCGTACCCGAGAGAGTTGGGGAAGGGAGAGGGGGGGGGGGGGGGGGGGAAGTGCCCCTTTTGCACCCCCTGCCGACGCCCATGGTATTGAAAACAGATAGAAAAAAGGCATGAGGATTGTTTAAACAAGACAAAAAGAACACGAGGCTTGCCTGATGCTGGGGATAGCCAAACCTATCCCCAGCATCAGGCTTACCCTCCTCATCACGCCTTCGTAAAACAACATCCAACTATAAAGAGCTACCGTGGAGTCAGGCTTGTGCTCGGAATCCCGGCGGCCAGGCCAGGCCGCCATCCAAACCCGTGGCTCTAATTAAGTTTGGGAGGTTAAAACAGAGAAGAAAGTGGACGACAATACATAAGGCAGACCGGACGGTGCGTCAACGATCGCCTTTGTGAGCACAACTGCACTATCACCAACAAAAACTCCGCACACCTGGGAATTCACTGCTGAGACAGTGGCTGCTCAGCGCAGCTGGAGAAATGCACAGTGTTAGGCAGGAATCACGACAAGCTAACAAGAGAAATTATGGAAGCAGAGAACATTGCCAGACAAGAGGAGAGTTGTGTCAGCACTCCTTCCATAATGTTATCCAAAAAAGAACTAGAGTACTTAGCCGTACAATAATTTTACGGTTTAGCTTTCTATTACAAAAACACAGGAAGAAGATGGAAGAAGACAAGGGCAATTTTTTGCCATAGAGACCCTAGTCCATAAAGAAAGACGAAAACAAAAATTGTATATATAACCTAGAAATCTACAGTTGTCAG